TTTTTTTTTTTTTTTTTTTTTTTTTTTTTTTTTTTTTTTTTTTTTTTTTGTGATTATTTGGATGGCAAAATTAATGTTTGTAATTCAGCATAGTATAATTAGATTAAACGATTGTTAATTATAAATTTAGTCGAAGAAAAAATTAATTTATTATTGAATCAAGCTAATAATTATATCAATTAAATCGTATAATTCTTATAAACGAATGAATTTCAGATATAAATATAAATTTATAAATATTTAATAAAATTCATTTGAGAGGTGTTTTTGTAGAGAAATAAAATAAAAACTTACAACCCCTCATCATATGATAGAAGATCGAGAGTACTTATTGCTTCAATTTGAAGTGATCCCACCAAATAAAGAATTAAAATAATAATAATAATAATAATAATCATTAGATTCAATTTCGGGGTGCTGCATGCTTTAATAATTCATTTTTATTTTTTTTAAATTACATTGAAAAATTATCCAATGGTGAAAAAGTTTGGGGATTTAGTTATAAATCAATCCAAGTTATATTTTAATTTTATTAGGTAATATTTTAGTTTTAATAGTTTAGGAATACATTCTTTTATTAAATCTCAATAATATTATTCACCAACTTAAAAATATAAAAATTAAATTTGCGAGAAACTAAATTATTACTTGATAGAACAATTTTAAAGTAAAATGCTCAATAGTAATTTACGTGTGAGACAAAAATTTCACTCGATGAATTGACATATTACCGTATAAATGGTGCTATGGGTTCAATGGATGCTTGTCACATGTTCAATCGGACTTAATTAGCTTAAGAATGACATAGTCGCAATTCTTTATCATGTCATACACCTCTGGGCAGCTATCCACACAAGCATATGACGTGTAAGTGTGAAGAGAGACTAAGAACAACAAAATCATCTTGGTCCTCAAACAAGAGTGACTTAGCTTAATAATTGTAATAACTTTAGTCCACTGTTAGCAAATATTGTCTATTTTGGTCGGTTATGTATCACGGTCAATCTCATAGTGTTAAAGTACGCTTGATAGGAAGAGGTTTCCACCCTCGTTGCCCTTTACAACCGATGCAGATTCTCACGATAACACGCATATTTTGTAGTTATAGAAGTGATACGAACATAATTTCGAAATTATCCATAATGTTTCAAAATTATCCATAATGTTTCTACCTTGATTACAAGTAATTAAACAGACAAACATTTATTCGTCTCACTTTGTAGACATAATACAGAAGGACACAAACAAGAATGCGAAAGCACTGGACTTGCGCAAGGTGGGCCATGGAAGCCCATATTTTCCCTTTGCAAACATCCCCTTCAAGAACGACCAGAAGCACAAAATCAACCACACACAGCACATCACCTCCCCCACCCCAAACTCTTGCACAACGGGCTGCCTTATCCTTAATAAAGCGACTGAAAGCGCTGCCAGTTGAATAATCAAAATGGTGGTTCCAGGTACAAACACTGGGGACTCATCGAATGTGAAACGACCCAAGTCCCCATAGCTACAACTGTCTGTGTCATCACTCGAGGAAGACGATTCCTTTTTTGTCACTTCAAACACAGTCTCTGACAGTCCTAATAGCTTGAGGACGACTGCCACTGCTCCAAGCGAGGAAGCACAGATTGTGTTTATCCTCGCCATTCTCTCGTTATTCCACCAGGCTCTTGCTGATTGGCCTGTTTCCAAATACTGTAACAGCTGCTGCAGATTGTAAAACACAAAGAGAAGAATAGGGATGCATGCTACTGGTTCTTGTACCTACATTCATAAATTCAATGTCCTTTATGTTCAGTTTCTTCAAAAAACTAACAAGATTTTACAAAATAAAAATAAGTTTTGGGATTTAGAGGTTGAATTCTATACTTGCCTTGGGCAAGAAATGGGAGTTGGCAATCAAACAGAATGCTGGCAGAGTAGCATAACAAATCTCTGGGATAGAACGAATGCCCCAAAGACATATCCACACAGAGTACATACGTTGCCTGAATTGGAGCTTACCAAAGAGAGCACTGAACAAGGGGCATCTTTTGCTGAATAAAATTTCAAGTAGTCCTGTCATTGCTCTCTTCTGATGGTTTAATGGAATTGGACCGCCTGAGGGCGCGCATCCTAGGAAGGCTGGTGGAGTTGGTGTAAGGTAGGCAGATTTCCAGCCTTTCTTATGGATCTCAGACCCAGTCAACATATCCTCCAATAACGATCCATATAGCCAACCCACCTAAGAACCAATCAACAATTATTGAAGCAAACAAGGTGATATGACACGATTAACTTCAAATTTGCATTTAGAATTCAGACATGTTATAATGTAGAATATCTATGGTCAAGCTCACATAAACTAGAGCTAACATTCAATATCCGAAGTCTATCTGATACACAGTTTTCGGCACATAATTTGGGCAATCCACACAGAAACAGTTAAATCTAGTTATTTTTTATGATAAAACTACAACCCAAGTCGTGAATTAAGGGACAAAAAAGGTATATAATTGAAGTAGCAAACCTTGGTACCCCAACAAGAAGCGCGTTCATAGTCAGAGGTAGCAACTTCGTTTACTGTTTTGATAGAATTGGATAGGCCGTGTGGATAATCAGTAAGGCTTCTCAGAGCATGAGCGGCTGAGTTCACAAAATCTTTCGAATTTCCAAATGTTTTATGCAATTCATCGTCACGATCTTTACCTGAAAAATGAACGGAAATAAATTATGTAATCAAACATGAAATGAATCAAGTATGTTGAGTAGAAGCATCGTGGACTGTAGTAATTACCGCTGATATTTGTACCATCTGGGGATTGACCATACATGACTTTTCGTCTATGGATACATCCTGTTCCCATATAACCAGGCCCTTGAATCCCTGCCGCTCCACGAAAAGTGAACTGCCAAAACAAAATACACATAGTAAACATCAGGCAAAGAATACTACAATGTGAAGTACAAAAGATTGCAAGTTTATTAGTCACCTCCATCATGACAATCCATTGGTTCCCAAAGGGATCATCCTTGAGTCCATTGTAAAAGCATTGGGGAAACTGAACAAATGCATACTCTTTATCAATAATTGGGTCTAGATAGAGACACATTCCTTGTAAAAGAACAGCAGGATTGTTCACAAACATATCACAATCTACATTCAACATATACGGCGCGTTGGTCATCAATCCAGAAATTCTGGCCTGCAAATCAAACATACATTGCAAGTCTCGTTAAGAAAGGAATGTATGGAGAATTTAAGAAAAGGAATGATTTGAAAATTACCAAAGCATTCATTGCACCAGCTTTGTAATGATGTGGATGTTGGGGTTTCTTCTCTCTCGAGACATAAATCAAATGAGGCAATCCATCCCAGAGCCCTTCCTTGTTCTCCCAAATTACCTGCAAATGAGATACGTTCAAATGTTCATTATCTGTCAACAATTATTTAATTAGCTCAACCTCCTAGTTGAACATAAGCTAAAAAAGAAGAACATAGGGTTAACAATTGCTGGATGGGATAATTTATAATTAAGAAGTTGTACCTTGATTATAGGGGGGTGATCTTTTGAGTTCGCGTTAGAGAAATCTGCCAAATCGCCCGTAAGCTCGCGAGAAGCAAAATTTTTGGCTGGTTCCTCGATAGTTCGGCGTAGCTTCTCGTACTCATCCTTATCATACAAACAGTAAAGACAAAACGATGTCAAAATCTCTCTCGAAATCCCCAATGTTTTCTAAAGCATATCATTCAAGTTCTTATTACCTTAACTCTCCTCCACTCGCACTGGAATTCCTCTGTTCCATCGGAGCTTAAATCATTAGAAAAATACCTAAACGGAGCCCTAACTTCAACCTTATACTTCTTACAAAAAGGAACCCAAGTTTTAGCAAACTTGAGGGCTTCAGTGAGGGAATAGAAAGTGAGTGGAGAACAACCGTCGTCAGAAACATAGATAGCCAGTTTATTGGCCGGATAATCGACGGCTAACAAAGACAGCACCGTGTTAACGGTGATTATCGGTGGCTCAAGCACCGAATCCGCCGTCGTAACAAATACATCCACCGGAGGAAGATCCTCGACTCTGTATTTCCAATCATTGAGCACAAACAGACAAACAGAACTTCTAAGAAATGGTCCGATACAAAATTACCAAAATCCGGAGAATAAGTATATAAATTACCGTTTGAGGAGGCGTTCTGGATACGTTTTGTAATCAACCGGATTCCATGTGACATTGACAAGGAGAGCCCAAGTGAAAGTGAACCAACACTCGCAGAGGAAGGCAAGTGCGTGAAGCCAAGTGAATCCATGGCGATGGAGGACGAGGAGGCGATAGGCGAGCAGTAAAAGGAGGAGGAAGAAGATGGTAACATCCAATACTCTCTGTACTGGTCTACGAACTCCAGCTTTTTCGTACAGAGGCAGAGCGTTGGGTTCAACCATTGTGAAGGAAAAGAGTACTCTGCTCTTCTCTTTCCATGGCAATTGGGTTGGTTTATATAGTGTATTTAAAAAAGAGGAGACACAAAACAAATCTTTAAAAAATAAACTACTTTATTATTACACTTATTTTATTTATTTTTAAACTATTAAACGGCATCTGACATTTTTTTATTAAAATGTATTTAATATATCATATCAATACACCAACATTGATCCTAAAGTCTGAAATTTACATGACTAACATGTTCGTTGGGTTAGAATAATTGTTATCCGAATCTAGTTGTTCGTTGAATTAGAATAAGGAATATTAGAGTCGAGAATTAGTTCCTTGAATTGTAACACACAAATACGTCTGTTAGCAAAATAATTGGTTAAGTCTCGAACTGATCCATTGGTAGAGACGGAAGATCAATCATATTCTTATATTTTTTTAATAATTTTATTGTTTAAAAAATTATCCTTTAAAGTAAAAGCATTTAAGAATAATATATTATATGATAGGCTTTTCAAAGTTGGCAAATTTGACTTGCATTGACCATTCATTTTCTTGGGGTTCAAGGTGGGCGCTTGATAAATACGAAATCTATATATATATATATATATATATATTCCTTTTCTTTTCTTCTTTTGGATTAGATATAGAGGAAATTTGTTGACATTTTGATATAATAATTAATTTTTTTTTTAATTATTTGAGAATCTATGGTTGAAACTTAAAATGGTAACATTATGAGTTTTCTCATTAAATACACAATAAATTCTTTTTGCTTAAATCACTAAATTGAAGAAAATTTTGTAAGAGAACATTAATTTTTTTTTTAACATTATTAGTTAAATTTTTGTTTAAATTTAATTTTAAAGAGCTTAAATAAATTTTTATAATTAATATAGAGCCTATTAATTAGTATTTTCTTCAAATAAAATTCAAATAAAACAACGATAGTAAATAACCAATAATTAAACTCTCACTCGTTCTTCGTTAACGCGAACAACACAAACAAGAGTGTAAAAGCACTGGACTTGCACAAGGTTGGCCATGGAATTCCAAATCTTCCCTTTGCAAACATTCCCTTCAAGAATGGCCAAAAGCACAAAACTAACCACACACTGCATATCATCTCCCCCATAGGTAATTCGGTAATAACATAGCTTCTTGCCTCCATTGATCTCGACAAACCGATTGAAAGCGCCATCAGTTGTATCATCATAATTGTCGTGGCTGGTACGAACAACGGCGACTCATCGAATGTGAATCGACCCAAATCTTCTTTTACTTCATCTTCATCGTTCGAAGTAGACAATCCCTTCTTTGTTACCTCAAACGTTGTTTCTGATAAACCTAAAAGCTTAAACACTATGCCTATAACTCCAAATAAGTACGAGCACATCGTGTTTACTCTTCCCATTTTTTGGTTGTTCCACCAAGCCCTAAACGATTGCCCAGTCTCCATGTATTGTAGTAGTTGTTGCACGTTGTAGACCACAAAGAGTAAAAGGGGGATGCATGCAGCTAGTTCTCGTACCTACGTTGAGTTTGGATATAATATGAAAGAAGAAAAAAACCTTATCATAAATCACCGAACCTAAAAATTTGAGCGAACTTACATTGGGTAAGAAACGAGAGTCGGAGATGAGACAATAAGCGGGAAGAAGAGTATAGAGAAGCTCGGGAACGGAGCGTATGCCCCAAAGTGATAGCCAAAGATAGAACATGCACTGCCTAAGTTGGAGGTTGCCAAAGATAAGAGCAAAAATGGGGCTTTTTGTGCTGAACAAAACTTCAAGTTGGCCTGTAACCCATCTCCTTTGCTGTGTTAAAGAGGTTGGCCCTCCTGATGGGGCACACCCTAAAAAGGCCTTTGGCTTTGGTACAACAAGAGCCGATTTCCATCCCTTTTGGTGTATTCTCAGTCCAGTTAACAAGTCCTCTGCTGCACTTCCATATAGCCAACCCACCTACGATCACAAAACCATCAAAACATCGACGACCAAAAGTGTGCGTATTCAGTAAAGTCAAAGTCTATTGAGTCTATCGCTAGTAAATATTATATGTTTGGCCCATTACGTATGTAATGGGCTCAGTCTCACGGTTTTAAAATGCATCTACTAGGGAGAGCACCAACACATTGTAACGGTCTAGATCCACCGCTAGCAAATATTGTTCTCTTTGAGCTTTCCCTCTCAAACTTCCCCTCAAGGGGAGAAAACACGTCAACTAGGGGAAGGTTTCCACACCCTTATAAAGGGTGTTTTGTTCTCTTCCCCAACTAATGTGGGACATCACAATCCATCCTCTTTCGGGCCCAGCGTCCTCGTCGGCACTTGTTTCTTTCTCCAATTGACGTAGGACCCCTAACAAACCCACCCCTTTGGAACCCAGCATCCTTTCTTGCACACCATCTCGTGTCTACCCCCTTCGAGAAACAGTGAGAAGGTTGGCACATCGTCCGATGTCTGGCTCTAATACCATTTGTAACGGTCCAGATCCACTGTTAGGAGATATTGTCCTCTTTGGACTTTCCTTTCGGGCTTCCCCTCAAGGCTTTAAAACGCATCTGCTAGGGGAAGGTTTACCCACACAACTACATCCTTGTGTTTTGTCCTCCTCCCCAATCAATGTGAGACATCACACACACCATCCGGTGTCTAGCTCAAATATGTGTAACAACTCAAACCCACCGCTAGCAACCTCACAGTTTAAAACGCATCTATTAGGAAGAGGTTTCCACACCCTTCTAAGAAATGCTTCGTTCTCCTCTCCCATCGAGGTGAGACCTCACAATCCACCCCCTTTGGGGGCCAACACCCTCGCCCTCTCTGATACCATTTATAACAGTCCAAGCCCACACCTAATAAATATTGTCCGCTTTGACCCGTTACATATCGTCGTGAACCTCACAATTTCAAAACGCATTAACTAGCGAGAAGTTTTCGCACTCTTACAAAGAATACTTTGTTTCCCTCTTCAACCGATATAAGATATAAACTCAAAACCCAAAGTAATTAAGAACCAAAAGAGCAGAAGATGATAAGAGATCATTCGGAAGCATACTTGTGCACCCCAAGAAGAATTGTATTCATAATCACAACTAGCAACTTCCTTCAATGCTTCTATGGAATGGGACTCCGACAATAATGGACGGCTTGGATTATGTGCAATCCTTCTCAAAGCATCAACGGCCGAGATCTTCAATTTCTCTGATTTTCCAAACCTCTTGTGTAACTCAACCTCAAAATTACTTCCACCTATAAATTAAATTAAATTAAATTAAATTAAATTAAATTAAAATTTAAAAATCGAAGTTCAAATTCTCATACTACCTACCATCGGGAGGTTGACCGTATAAAATTTTTCGTCGATGAATACATCCCGTCCCCATGTAACACGGTCCTTGAAGTCCGTTCGTTCCACCCATAATAAACTACAAAATAAATAAATACATACATAAATAATTAATTAATTATGACATAGCTTTAAAAAAAATGCACATAATAATCTACCTCCATCAAAACATGAAATTGGTTTCCATAGGGATCGTCCTTAAGTCCATCGTAGAAGTTTTGAGGAAATTGAACAAAAGCATACTCTTTGTCAATTATTGCGTCTCGAAGAAGACACATTCCATGTAACAGAATTTCGGGATTATTCACAAACATATCACAATCCACGTTTAATATATAAGGAGCATTCGTCATCAATCCAGATACCCTTGTCTGCACGTTAAATACAAACAACACGATCATAAGATAAAAATAATATTTGTCACATAAATATTTAATATAATACAATATAGTTTAAAAGCGGGTGAAAAAAAGTACCAAAACGTTCATAGCTCCAGCCTTATAATGATGTTGATGTTCGGGTTTCTTTTCTCTCGACACGTAAATTAAATGAGGCAATCCATCAATACCTGCCTCTTTGTTCTCCCATATCACCTGCCGTTATTAAACAGGTATAACATTATTCATCCATATTTGACATGTACTTATTCTTAAACGTGCAATAAAAATATTAAATATTTTCTAAAATTTAACAAAATTAGAGATAAAATTAATTAATTAGGGATAAAAATTATGATTTATAAAGAGATACCTTAATAATTGGAGGGTGGTTATTGGATGTTACATTGGAAAAGTGGGGCAGCTCTCCGGTCAGGTCACGCAGGGCAGCTTGCCCAATTCTCTGGCTGAGCTTCTCGTATTCATCCTTCTCATATAAACAAGCAAATAATAATGACCAAACATTAGAAAAAAAACGTTATCTTAGACGAAAGTTTGGTACCTTCATTTTCGTCCACTCATGGCGGAACTCCGGCGAGTCTCCGGCGACTAAATAATCGTCTTTGTTATTGTAAAAGTATCGAAATGGAGCTCTAACTTGAACATGGTTCTTCTTGCAAAAAGGAACCCAAATCTTCGCGAAATTCAAAGCTTCAGAGAGGGCGTAGAAGATGACCGGAGAACCGCCGTCATTGGAGACGTAACAAGTCAATTTGTCGGCGGGATAATCAACTGCCAACAAAGATAGCACCGTGTTGACGGTGATTATCGGTGGCTCTAGCGCTGCATCCGCCGTCGTCACGAATATGTCTATTGGAGGAAGCTCCTCCACCCTGCATTATTTTTTTCATCACGACCCTCCATAATTGTATGATATTATTCCTTACTTATAAATTCAAAATTATTCTCTAAATTAGTGAATGCAGCGTTAGACGAACACGATTCTCCACAATGGTATGATATTGTCCACTTTGAGCATAAGCTCTCATGGGTTTGCTTCGGGCTTCTCCAAAAGGCTTCATACCAATGAAAATAGTATTCTTTGATTATAGATCCATGATCATTCCCTAAATTAGCCGATGTGGGACTTTCATCATTCAACATCTTCCTTCGAACAAAGTACACCTCCCCTTAATAGAGGCTCGACTCCTTTGGAGTGTTAGTCATTTTTTACTGCCTTCGAGGAGGCTAGACTCCTTATCTTTTGGAGTCCTTTGTTCGATATTTGAGAATTTACCAATCTATTGGCACG